CTACAAACAGAACTGATGGCCATAAAGAAATTTAGTCTGGACCTGCAGTCTCCCTGATGAAGGAAGACACACACCTCTATGCACACCTGTGCTGGTCATCCTTGTAGCCTTGACCTCAAACATTCCACCCAGATTCCTTGGGACTACGACCCCCAACCCCAAATCCTATATATGCTTAGCACCCGCTCCAGATATTCGCTGGCATCGCTCTGATTCAGCCTGCCTATACCTAGAGGAAGTTAAATCTAGTCTTTGCCGCAATCTCAGTCTCTCCGTCTCATGCTCTGTTAATTAACAGGAGGTTCCTTAAAATTTTCTGTCTGTATGTGAGCATTAAGCAGCTTTACTTTTTCCTTCCCCATCTGCATGGCTTTTATTTCTTCCTCTTGTCTTATGACTAGGAGTTCTAGTTTGGTGTTGACTAGGAGTTGTGAGGCTTGTTTTTCTCTCCTTATTCCCAGCATTAGTGGGAAAACAGCCACTGTACCATAAAATCATCAGCTGTATTGTTTTAAACATAGATCCCTTTATCAGCTTTTTAGCTTCTTGAGATTTGTTTCATCATAAATAGACGTTGAATTTTGTTACTATATTTTTACGTTCTTTAATATGATCATGTGATGTTTTTCTCCTTAGTCTGTTAATGCAATATATTGCATTAGGTGATTTTCAAATATTTTATTCTCTGGTTAAATCCTATTAATCAGTGTATGTTTTCCTTTTTAAACATTACTTTATTTATCAATATTTTGTGAATTTTTTGTTTATGCTCATGACGGATGCTAGGCTATAGTTTTCTTGTAGTTGCCCGGTTTTGCATCAGGAAAAGTGACCTCATCAAATGGTTTGTGAAGTATTTTTTGCTTCTGTTTCCTGGAAAAGCTCATATAGGATTGATTTGTTTGCCCCTTGAATGTTTGGCAGTGAAATCAATTTGGTTAGGCCCCATCTTTTCATATCCTAGCAACATAACATCCCCAAGAAAGCAAGTCTACAAAGGTCAAGCGACTTCTTCTGTCAGTACAGCCAGAGTCAATCAGACTTGAGGACTGTCTCAAACTAGGCAGATCAGATCGATCTTTGACCCACCAGGAGCAATATTACTTTATGGGTTCTATAATGCCAATGTTTACAGTAAAGATGTCTTTATGGTAAACACCTGGAGACTGTCTGAAAAAAGTAGTCTAGCTCTCCCTCCCAGCAATTCTTTTTTTTGTTTGTTTGTTTTTTTTTGTTTTTTCTCCGGTACCGGGAACCGAACTCACGACCTTGCGCTTGCCAAGCAGGCGCTTTTGCCGCTGAGCTAAATCCCCAGCCCCCCTCCCAGCAATTCTTATTTGACTGATTTGGGCTGAGTCTGGGACACTGGAGGTTTTAAAAGAAACCTCCAATGGTTTCTTTGTTCATATTTTTCAGTTTGTTCAAAGGCAAGGTTGGGAACTACCAGTGTAGTGTAAAGCTGTGTATTTATTTTACTGCCTGATCCCCTACTGATTATTTTAATGTGCATTTGAGGTTGAGAAACATTCATCCCGGCAGCAGTTTCCAGGTATGGATGCTTATCAGTTACCTGGGAGAAGATTTTAAAGTAGGCTCCAAGAACCCACCTCAGACCTATTGAGCTTAAACCCTAGTGCACGAGGCCAGGGAAGTTTTTTCTTTTTCTAATTCTCAGGCATTCCTTTGAAAGACTACTCAACCCAGGACACCCTATTCTTATTACTAAGATTTTTGGATATTAAAAGAGTAATCGGCAGGGCAGGGTATTTAGTGATACAATAGTTTCTTTTTACCCATGGGATACGTTTTGGGACCCCTAGTGGAGTCCTAGAACTGCAGATAGTACTGTACATTCATACCTGTAATAAAGTTTAATTTATACACTGGGCAAAGTAAAAGCTTAACAACAGCTACTCATAAAGTAGAATATTGTAAGAATATACTATAATAAAATGCATGTAAATGTAGTCTCTGTCTTTAGAGGCAAGACATATATTAATATTTTTGGATTTTAGTTGATCACAGGTAACCAAAATTATGGAAAACAAAAATGAATGTGGGATGAGACTACTGTATAAGGGCAGAGAGAAAGGAAAGGATTTGGATGATTTTAAGGCTGTGCAAAGCAGGCTATGGCTGATCCTTGCAGAAATAGAAATGCACTTCTGTAATGACAGAAATACTGCTTCTAGTAGGTATAATATATTTAGTTCTTATTTTATACTGCTGGATAAAAAGAAATGTGGTTTTCCCTTTTGGTTTTCTTTTATCTGGACTCCATAAAAACCAGTCCTTCTACGTTCTTTCTCCCGATAGGTTACATAATGGAGATTAGAGCTTTTGTGTGTTTTCTGTCTTGAGTACATTCCCCCATCTCATCAACTTCTATATTTCCCTAAGTCTCTTTAGCATCAGATTTAGTAATAATGATCTCTTAGTGAACAGTTAAGCACCCATAAGTCCTAAAAATATTTCTTTTGGGTCTGGAAAAGTATCAAACAGGAATGGAAATCAAAAATCAATCCATCTGAGAAATACTCAGAAGACATTAACCAAACCTAAAAACAATGGTCTTGGAAATTAGGATTTCTAGTATGTTAAATTACAAGTGTTATTTGTTGGTCAAGCAATCATTAGTTACCTTACAGGGGAAAAGAATCCCCAAACAGTACTACCAAACAGAGGACTGTATCTGCTTTCGGATTACAAAGAATTTAACCGTGCAGTAGCACTTCAGGGCATTTGTGTTATTACATATGGTGAATTAGAAGATGGAAGATATTGGAGGACCTATGAAAATACTATAAATCGATTTAGAAACATACAGGCTAGCATGTTTTCCAATTTGTTCAGTAGGCTGGCTTAATACGGCATGATATCAGTGATCACCTCATAAGTCATTTAACATATAGCATTAAATAATTTTCACAAAAAATAAAGCTTTGTAGTCATGAGTTTAATGCCATATACATGTATTGAACATACAATGAATGATCAAAAATAGTTGCTATGGGTACTCAGGTGCCCGTGAGCACACGCACACGTACACATGTGCCCACACGCATGCGCGCGCACACACACACACACTGTGGAGGATTAATTGATGGTCAGTTTGAGTAGGAATGCCCAGCTCAACTGAGTCAGCACGGTTCTGGGCAAGGCAGATCCACCTAAGGATTGTTGCCCGAATTGCATAAAAGAACAGGAGGGGAAGATTGCATGTTGCTGATTTGCCTAAAGAAGTTGCATTTCTGTGGTGTTTCTTCCAAGGAGCTTTGGCTGCTGTCTTCCTTTAGGAGAACATCAATCCTTGTCTTCTTGGACACTGTCTCCTGGTTTGAGTGCAGAACTCTCAGCCTTCTGGCACAGATCCCGCCAGCACAGACTTTCTAGCTTCCACCATGGCCCTTGGGCCTTTCTGGTGCAGATCCTGGACAAGGACTTGAACTGGACATTGCCATGGGCTCCAAGTCCTTGACTGGATTCTTCAGGTCTCTAGCACACAAACAGACATCTGTGCTCTTCTACATCTGCTCTAGTAAGCATTGACTAACACACACACACATATACACACACACACACACACACACACACAGCTACAAGAGTCCATGAGGAGATGTGGGGTGAGTGACAAATATCAAGAACATCAGCATTGTGCTTTAGGTCTAAAATGTGCCCCATTTGTCTTGTGTTTGGAAGGTGATTGGGTCATGGGGGCGCTATACTCATCCGTGGATTCATTCACTGATGGGTTTAGTAGGTGAATGTACTATGTGCTATGAGGAGGTGGATTCCTGAAGGCCGGCTCTAGAAGGTTGTATTCTCATCCTGTCCTTCTCTGTGCTGCCTGGATGCGGAGGGATGAGCTGTCCTCTGTTTCTGCTCTGTAGCCAGCTGACCATGGACTGACTCCTCCAAAACTGTGTCAAAAAAATCTCTCCTCTGGTAAGCTGCAGTATTGTTTTGTCACAGCAACAAGCAAGTGACTAATACCATCAGCTACACGGGGGAAGCAGTGTTTTGGCTGAGTTCAGATGGTGGGTGGGAAGAAGGGCACATGCAACTGTGTGAGACTACATGGAGGTCCAAGAGAAGGTGCTGTTTTTTGAGAAAGGGTGGATCCCAGGATGCATATAAAGCACTACTTAGTAAGATACAGAAGGGACAGTTCATGATAGCTTGCTTGTTTGATCATTTTCCTATGGATGACAGATGCTGAAGGATTCCACCTTGTAGAGTATAGGATCTGTGTTTTAGAAATGCCTCGAGGATAACCAAGAGGATAAGAAAGATCAGAGGTAAAATTCCTAGCCACTTCATGGGATGTGGACCTCCTCCTATTGAAGTAAGGAATGAATATTGGCTCTATAGTAATGGTGGTGAACCTTTTAGAGATCAAGTTCCCAAAAGACAACCCCAAGCCCATTTATTTATTTCAAAGTGCAACTAAACCTGAATACTGGGGTTGCAGTTTAGAAAAAGCAGCTGTTATGTGATGCCTGGCTGCTAGGGCGACTTGGCTCGTGTGTCCACAGAGGGCTCTGCGTGCTGC